GTAGCTGGGACTACAGGCAGGAGCCACCATGCCCAGCTAATTTTTTCTATATATTTTTAGTTAGCCAATTAATTTCTTTCTATTTTTAGTAGAGATGGGGTCTCACTTTTGCTCAAGCTGGTCTCGAACTCCTGAGCTCAAACAATCCTCCCGCCTCGGCCTCCCAGAGTGCTAGGATTACAGGTGTGAGCCACCACACCCGGCCCTTTTAATGTTTTTATTGCCCATTCATACATCTTTGCTTCATATGTTTTCAAACAGCTAAGTTTACATGAAATAAATTATGTTTGGGGAAGATTTTTCTGGGAGCATTTGTAGTATTGATTGAATAGAGAAGAGCCAGGAGGTAGTGAAACCAGATTAGAGATTGGGGTAAAATGATATATGCTGGAACAGTGTTGTGATACTGGCAATTAAAAATAAACAGCTATATAAATAGTGGTAGGAAGAAAGAACAGACAAGAGTTTGATGGACTGGCTATGAAAAATGAGGAAGAGAAGTCAAAGCTGGATATGAGGAAGTTTCTAAGGACCACCAATAATGGTGACACTCTTATTCGATCACTTAGAAGTCAGAGAAGGATGATAAGACTCTTTTAGACTATTTAGAGTTGTTATCTAGATTTTAAAATGAGACACAGAGAAGAAGGGAATGTGAAGATGGAGGCAGAGATTTGATTGACACATTTATAAGTCAAGGAATGCCAAGAATTGCCAGGAACTACCATAAGCTAGGAGAAAGGCATGGAAAATATTTGCACTCAGAATTTCCAAAGGAACCAACCCTGCTGACACCTTGATTTGGGACTTCTGGCTTCCACAAGTCTGAGAGAATAAATTTGTTTTTTTTTTTTTTTTGAGCCAGAGTCTCACTTTGTTGCCCAGGCTAGAGTGAGTGCCGTGGCATCAGCCTAGCTCACAGCAACCTCAAACTCCTGGGCTCAAGCAATCCTCCTGCCTCAGCCTCCCCAGTAGCTGGGACTACAGGCATGCACCACCATGCCCAGCTAATTTTTTCTATATATGTAGTAGTTGGCCAATTAATTTCTTTCTATTTATAGTAGAGATGGGGTCTCGCTCTTGCTCAGGCTGGTTTTGAACTCCTGACCTCGAGCGATCTGCCCGCCTCAGCCTCCCAGAGAGCTAGGATTACAGGCGTGAGGCACTGCGCCCGGCAAATTTCTGTTGTTTAAAAAAATAAAATAAAATGAAATGAAAATACCCTCTATTCAGCTATAAATGGACTACTGGGATTGGAGAGAGAATGTAAGATTTGTGCAACTCAGAGAGGCCTTAACATTTCACAGAAGTGATTATTGAGAAACTGACTATGTGGCAGAAGTGAGGAATCCAAGGTTGTACTAGCTAGACATGAGAGCAGGAGGAGTTCTTGGGCAGTGCTGGGTTAGGACATATATGTTATACAAATAGCACAGTCTGGATGTTGAAGGCCAGAAACTTAAACTCATTGATCCTCTCAAAGTAACCCAACTTCCTTAATTTCCCAATTTCCATAAATAAGTTTCTAAGAAGTTGATAAAATTGGTTTGGTTTTAGAGCCTCCTTTAATCTGTGTCTATTGGAAAGGGCTATAGGTATGACTGGTTTGGTTCTTTTTCTTTTTCTTTTGTTTTCTTTCTAGGTTGTATCAGAAGGGTTTGGTAGTTTTCTACAGAAGATAGGAAAAAGTCCAAATGCAAAATATCCTTCTTTATTTGTTTCAGAGAACGGAAAATTAATGGTATTGTAACTTCCAAAGGAAAACTAAATGGTAGCCCATGATGTTATCATATTACTCTGTATTTGGTTTGAATTTAAAGCTGCTATAATTGGTTCATTTTTATTTATTTATTTTACTTCTGAGTTTCATTGATTATAGTTCATTTTTAGAGATTGATTATTATTGGTTACTTATTTTTTAATATTTATGCCTATGATTTGATTTTCCTTCTAATGTGTATATCCTTCAATTTATCAGATACATTATGGTGCCAAGTGGTAACATGGGAGTGTTTGATCCAACAGAAATACACAATAGAGGGCAGCTGAAGTCACACATGAAAGAAGCCATGATCAAGCTTGGTTTCCACCTGCTCTGTTTCTTCATGTATCTTTATAGGTAAAGTTTAGCATTTTCCTAGATGCCATGTTTGTTTTTGATGGGTGAGATACTACTATACTGTGGGATTTTGCATTGATGTCTCAGAACTTTGGGGACTTATGTGAATTTCTTGGGGCTGTGGAAATTGTATGTATGTCACTGTATCAGTACCCTGTCTGACTTACAATAGATTTAGCCTGTGGTATGTAAGTTATGTGTTAGCTGTTGAAGCTATGAACATGGTTAAAATTGTCTTTGCTATTCTTTTTTTTTTTTTTTTTTGAGAGAGTCTCACTCTGTTGCCTTGACTAGAGTGCCGTGGCACACTGCAACTTCAAACTCCTGGGCTCAGGTGATCCTACTGCCTCAGCCTCCCGAGTAGCTGGGACTACAGGCATGCGCCACCATGCCCGGCTAATTTTTTCTATATATTTTTAGTTTGGATGGTATCTTTACCATCATATATGTTCTCTTATATTTGTTTTTGAAGAGACAGAAAATAAGCTGGTGTTGGTTTAGCTAAGGTTACTGTTTTAATGCTCCCCACCCCATAGGTTTTACGCTTTTGGAGAGTTAACTAGAGCAGACAGTCCCTGGGTCTTGGTAACATGAGCTTTCTTGGGACAGTGCTCTATGTACAGCCTATGTGGTCACACTTTAGGGAGTAAATGTAGGATTGGGGAGTAGTATCTTGCTTAGTAGACCCGAAGTCTTAGGATTTAAAAAGGCACAAGAGTTTCTTGAGTTCTCAGTTGTTGAACTCAAAGGAGTGGACTGAAGGGATCAAGAAGCAATTTGGGGGCAGGGTTAAGGTGTGGTTCTTTACAACTACATAAAAGGTAGGCAGTCTGTGTAACTGGTTTGCCTGGCAGCTTCATTCTTCACTGGCTGCCTCCTTTCCTTTTCTCTCTTCCCTCTCAGCTTGTCACTTTCAGTCCTTACCTTACCCTTTGGTGTCACTCATAGGTCAAGGGATCAGGATGAAATCAGTAGTCTCAGAAGATGTCCTTGTAGCACTTTTCTCTTGACTTTGGTTGCTGTTGCTTAAAAGTGGTTTTATTATCAGATCATTAGCTCTTGGTTGCAGGGATTATATGCTGCTCCTCTTTGTATCCAACACCTGCCACACCTTCATGGTACCTTGCACATAGCAGAAATGCATGGCTTGTTAAATAGAACTGAAGTTTTGAAAAAATGCTCATCATCTTTAGAGAATAGTGGAATTTATACCTTTGGTTTTTTGGTTAGGTGCTAGCCTAGTGGAATCTGGGTTCTGCCACTTACTGTGTAACCTGGGGCAAGTTTCTTTTTCTTTTTTTTTTTTGAGACAGAGTCTCACTTTGTTGCCCAGGCTAGAATGAGTGCCATGGCATCAGCCTCGCTCACAGCAACCTCAAACTCCTGGGCTCAATTGATCCTGCTGCCTCAGCCTACCGAATAGCTGGGACTACAGACATGTGCCACCATGCCCAGCTAATTTTTTGTATATATATCTTTTTAGTTGGTCAATTAATTTCTTTCTATTTTTGGTAGAGATGGGGTCTCGCTCAGGCTGGTTGCGAACTCCTGACCTCGAGCAATCCGCCCGCCTTGGCCTCCCAGAGTGCTAGGATTACAGGCGTGCGTGAGCCACCACGCCCAGCCGGGGCAAGTTTCTTAACCTCTGTTTGCCTCAATTTCTCGTCTAAAAATGGGATATAATAGTACCTGCCTCATCAGATTGTAATGTGGACTAAGTGGGATAAAGCATGTAAAACACTTAAATTTATGCTGACCTATAGTAAACCCTCAAATATCTTTCAGAAATCTTGGTTATTACCATTAATTTGTGTTGTGCATTGAATACATTTAGTATGGTTAAATTTGGACAACGAATCATTTATACCATGACTAATGTATGGTTATTTCTGTGTGTTTTAGGCTTGATCTCAGCAGAGCAAGGCTGATCCCAGTATTTGAAAGAATAGTTTTGTTATCTTTGTTTCACTGGGCCAGTTCTAGTAGAGTGGTATTTACTGGGTGACTGCTGTGGCAGACATTGTAGAAGGCAGTTGCAAATGACACAAAGGACCCGCACAGAGTCCCCACAGTGAAAGCCTGGAGCTGGTAATCGGCGTCTGGGTGCTATAGCAGAACACGAAAGCAGCAGTGCCTGGGCCCTGCTTTCGTCTCGGAGGAGCTCACACCGCGGGGCAGAGCCCGCATGTAGGGCACAGCGCGCGTGCAGGAGGACCGTGAGCTGTGAAGGAGCTAGTGCAGCTGCCCTGCGCTGAGAGCCCGGCTCCCCAAAGGAGGTGCCTTAGAGCCCAATCCTGAAGCCCGAACAGGAGTTCACTGGGTTGATGGGGGTGGGATGGTGACAGTATCTACGAAGATCTGGCTAGAGAATTCAGGGCTTTTTTCCTGGACATAGCTTAATTTAACTATAGCCCAACACTGGTTTTAGGTTGTACTCTCCCCACCCCTAGTTATTCTTTTTGTAGTGAAAAAATTAGGCTGTTGAGAGGCCTTAATATAGATATTCTTTCCTTTAGGTATAAATGATTGTCTTTTACTCAAATGAGTGTTCCTTGGTGAATCTTAGGGATGCAAGTCTGGACAGACAAGACTCTGTAGGAACATTCCCAAGGAAACACTAGTAACCTTAATTTCTTCTTTCCACAGTATGATTTTAGCTTTGATAAATGACTGAAGCTGGAGAAGCCGTGGTTGAAGTCAACATACAGCACCGTTGAGGAGCCAGAGACTACTTAACATCATTATTTGAACCGTGACCATAGCAGTATATATTTTCCTCTTTGAACAAAAAACTATTTTTGCTGTATTTTTACCATATAAAGTATTTAAAAAACATGAATTGAGTTTCTGTAGATTTCTGGTACTCAAGTTTAGTCTGAACCCCACCACTTGAAGGTGTTTTCATCATATGTATGTTGAAGATGGTTACTGTATATAGGAACAGGACTGCCATCCCAGCCTGGCATGCCAAAGAAACCAAGGACACACCTTAAAGGGAAAACTTAAGAGATGAGCAAAGCTACTCTTCAAGTCTAATGAAAAGTCAGAATACAAAACAACACTGTTAATCTGGAGAAAAGGAAAAAAGTTAATTACTCTTTTTGCTTATATTGTGGCAACTTACTGTTTAAAGATATATGGGACTGTCAGCTTTACAAGTCTTTTACAAGAATGTTAACAGAAAATGATATTTCAGTATATATGTAGCAAAGGTATATGTAAATCTTTGTAGAATTTGTGAAACCTCATAAGCCATTTGCCCAGATACAATACAATTCCTGCTTATAGAAAAGAAAAATAAATCGACAACCAAGATTTTTATCAAGAGTTTCATTTAAAAGCCACTGCCTCCACAATCACCCCCAAACCCATAAAATCCTTCTGGGTCTTGCTGATCTTGTTTTTGTATTATAATTGTTCCAATTGTATTTGATCTCTGAGATATATATATATATATACATATGTATATATATATATATATACACACACACACACACACACATATTTTTTTTTTTTTTTGAGACAGAGTCTCGCTTTGTTGCCCAGGCTAGAGTGAGTGCCGTGGCGTCAGCCTAGCTCACAGCAACCTCAGACTCCGGGGCTCAAGCAATCCTGCTGCCTCAGCCTCCCGAGTAGCTGGGACTACAGGCATGTGCCACCATGCCAGGCTAATTTTTTCTATATATATTAGTTTTTCTATATATATTAGTTGGCTAATTAATTTCTTTCTATTTATAGTAGAGACAGGGTCTCACTCTTGCTTAGGCTGGTTTTGAACTCCTGACCTCGAGCAATCCGCCCACCTCAGCCTCCCAGAGTGCTAGGATTACAGGTGTGAGCCACTGCGCCAGGCCTGATATATATTTTAATGGGTTTAGAGAGGTGATTTAGTAGAAGATGCTAATCAGATTAGAAGCAGGAATAGTCACTCATTGTCTGTGAAATTGAGCCTGTTAGTGCTCTGCTTGGTGCCAGATTAATCCTTCTATCCTTTTGCACTGACCACTTTGCGAATTGGGAGACCCAATACAAGCCATTTCATGGACATAGCAGTGTTAACCAAACTGTTCCTTGGAGTTGTATTTGTAAACTCTTGGAGTTGATGAGGCTGTTCACCTCTTTAGCTCTGTTTACCAACTCTTGCAGGGCAAGGTGAGCCTGGCAGTTTATCCTTAGTGCTAGTTTGTGCTTAAAGTTGCTATCTTAAGCATTGGCATTTAGCCATAACATGACTGTTTTATGGCAGAGCCCAAAGGGATCATTCCCTCGGTGAGACAGATTTGGGTGGCTAAACAGGGGTGTGGTCCCCCAAAGATTGAATGTTACATGTCCTTTCAGCCCGGGACTAAGTCTAGCCTTGGCAGAAGCAAGGGATCCACTAAGCTAAACTCCTTCTACAGATAGACCACGTTTCAAGGATGAAGTAGTGCCCTGGCAACACATGAAGGGAACAGCAAAGTTAACTTGGTTCTGTTGGCCTCTTTGTGGTAGTCTTATACTTCTCTCGGGCAAAGGGCCAGGAAGCTATTAACATAGAAATTAACTTTGCTTGCATCTCTTTCTTACCTCTTCCCTGAGGCACCTTCTGTTTAAAACAGTCCCTTCACTCTGCCTCCTCCCTTAATTTCCAGAGCCTCTTAATGGTCTATTCAAGCTTTTAAAGCAATGAAGCAATTGGAGAACTTAAGAACTGAGAGACAAGTTTCTTAAAGAAACTTAAAGGTGGTGTAGGACTTTTGATCAAAATGTTTATCTTATCTGGTCAGGCGCAGTGGTTCACACCTATAATCCTAGCACTCTGGGAGTCCAAGGTAGGTGGATCATTTGAGTTTGGGAGTTCGAGACCAGCCTGAGCAAGAGTGAGACCCCCGTCTCTACTAAAAATAGAAAGAAATTAATTGGCCAACTAAAAATATATCTAAAAAATTAGCTGGGCATGGTGGCGCATATCTGTAGTCCCAGCTACTCGGGAGGCTAAGGCAGGAGGATGGCTTGAGCCTAGGAGTTTGACGTTGCTGTGAGCTAGGCTGACGCCACGGCACTCTAGCCCAGGCAATAGAGTGAGACTCTGTCTCAAAAAAAAAAAAAGTTTTATCTTCTCATTCAAGTATTCTTTTTCTTTTTCTGGAGACGGTCTTGCTCTGTTCCCCAGCTAGAGTGCAGTGGTGTCATCATAGTTCTCAAACTCCTGGGCTCAAGTGATCCTCCTGCCTCAGCCTCCCAAGTAGCTGGGACTATAGGCAAGTGCCACCACACCTGGCTAATTTTTCTATTTTTTGTAATGACAGGGTCTTGCTCTTGAACTCCTGAGCTCAAGCGGCCCTCCCACCTAGGCCACCCAGAGTGCTAGGATTACAGGTATGAGCCACCACCCCTGGTCTCAAGTATTCTTAATAGGGAAAATAGAAACCTATGTAGTTAAGAGAGCTTTTGGGCTGTCAATTTGCATATTGTCAAGCATAAGTTGCTGAGGCCAAGCAAATCAGAAAGGTGCCTTGTTTATAACAGAGGTAGGGTTCTTTACTTCTGAAACATTAACTGTGGTTAGAAACAAAAACGCTTCCTTTGTATTGCTTGTCTGTGTCAAAGCTAGGAAAGGGAGTACTCTAATTTTTTGTCTTTTAGGGACTCAAGGGGGACAAGTCCATCCATTGACTTTTAAAAAGCTGTGGTTAAGATACAAAAGGTTAATTTTCCATGATTTTTATTGGAGAGTTGCAGAAGACATTAAAGATCATTTGGTCTAAGTTCCTCATCCCAAAGATAAAGAACTGAGGCTTAGAAATTGCCTGAGGTTTCATAACTGAGTATCTGGAATCCTGATGTTTAATCCAGTGTTCTTTCTCCCTTACCATTCCTCTTCTCTGTCCCTCCATAAAGGCAGTACGTAGGGGCCCGTCAGTGCAGACTACCATAAGGTGCTATGTGCATTTTGTTTTACATATAGAGGGATGGAGTTTCCCTGTGTTGCCCAGGCTGTATTCCAACTCCTGGCTAAAGGGATCCTCCAGCCTCAGCCTCCCAAATGGCTGGGATTACAAGCATGCACCACTGTGCCCGGCTGTGCATGTATTTTTTTTCTGATCGAAGAACCTGAATGTGGGCGTATTTTTATCTGTGTCGTTTTCACTTGTCTTTTTCCTTCCATTCTTTCAGTGGCAGCAGGTGCCCTGGAGAATCACTGGAACCTCAGCTGAGAGAGCTGAGGAAGCAGGCTCTAAGATGCAGCTCAGTTCATCAGAGCCTACCAGGCCCCTCAGCCGCCTTTTCGTGCCTGTCACACAGATGACAATGGAATAAAAGTCCAAATCTGCTTCCCCTGACCTGATCTTACTTTGAAGTTGAGAGTGAAGAGAGCTTCCTGTGATACTTAATCTCCTGTGGAACTTACCACTTTCTGTCTGTCTGGTATTACAGTTATTTTTTTTTTTTTTATTTCACACTAGTTTATTTAGGGGTTCCATTTTCACTCCTCAATAGATTTTACGTATTTCTCATATGCTTCTTCACTCATTAGTTCATCTAGTTCTGAAGGATTACTCAGTGTCATCTTGATCAGCCAACCATCTTCGTAACAAGATTTGTTAACAAGTCCAGGGTTTTCTGCCAGAGCTCCATTAATTTCAGTTACTTCTCCTGATAAAGGAGAATAGAGCTCACTAGCAGCTTTCACACTCTCCAAAGCACCAAACTCCTCTTGTTTGTTTAATTTTGTCCCAACTTCGGGCAGACTACAGTAAACAACATCTCCCAAAGATTCCTGTGCAAAATTGCTGATTCCCACTGTTCCAACACCATTTTCTGTTGTTACCCATTCATGTTTCTCTGTAAATTTACGCACTGAGAGCAGAGCGGGTCCCGTTCGCAGCGTCTGACAGCGCCGCGCTCAGCCGCCCCGGCCGCGGCGGTCGCCAGGCCCAGCGCAGGCTGCAGAGCACAGGTCGCGCGCTCCGCGCCGCTCGCAGCGCCATGTTCGCAGGGTCTGTTATTTTTATCCAATTTATTGTTCCTTCTAGATTGTACGCTCCTGGAGGGCAGAGTACACATACTGATATTTGTATCTTCTTTCTTCTCCTGGCACCTAACATAGTGCCTTGCACACAGAAACAACAAATGATTGGGTGTTTTTTGTGTTTTTTTTTTTGAGACAGAGTCTTGCTTTGTTGTCCAGGCTAAGTGAGTATGGCATCAGCCTAGCTCACAGCAACCTCAAACTCCTGGGCTCAAGCAATCCTCCTGCTCAGCCTCCCGAGTAGCGGACTCAGGCATGTGCCACCATGCCCAGCTAGTTTTTTATATATATTAGTGGCCATTAATTTTATTATAGTAGAGAAGGGGCTGCTCTTGCTCAGGCTGGTTTCGAACCCTGACCTCGAGCAATCTGCCCACCTCGGCCTCCCAGAGTGCTAGGATTACTTGTGTGAGCCACCGCGCCTGGCCAGAAACCACAAATGATTCTTGAATGAATGAGTTAATCAGATTGTGTTGTTCTATTGCTTTTTCAGTAAGAAGTCTGATATCCTTTAAGTCAGAGAAGAAGCAATGGAACAACATAATCAAAGCTCACCATCCTTGTTTTCAAGGCAGTCACATGATGAAATATTGAGACATGCTAAGAGAGGTTAACTACTATATTATGTCTAACTTTCGATGAATTACTTGTCCATATATTTATGAGTATATCTGTGAAAAAGTATCACTAGGGTGTATATTGTCTCAAAAATCTAAATAAGGCCGGGCGTGATGACTCAGGTCTGTAATCCTAGCACTCTAGGAGGCCGAGCGGCGGCGGATTGCTTGAGGTCAGGAGTTCGAAACAGCCTGAGCAAGGAGCCACCGTCTCTACCAAAAGCAATGGAAAGAAATTAATTGACTTAACTAAAAAAATAATATATACCATAAATATATAGCCACGCATGTGAGGCATGCCTGTAGTCCCAGGCACTCAGAGCTGAGCAGAGGATTGCTAGGCCAGAGTTGAGTTGCTGTGAGCCTAGGCTGACGCACGGCACTCACTCTAGACCGCAACAAAGTTGAGATCAGCTCAAAAAAAAAAATTAAATACGTTTCTAAAACAAGTAGCAGATAGAGAAGTAATCTGACATCTGTTGCTTTTACAGATCTTCTGCCACTTATTTCATGTATTATATTGTTTGAACCATGAGTCTCACTTTGTGCCAGTACAGGCTAGAGTGGATGCCGTGGCGTCAGCCTAGCTCACAGCAACCTCAAACTCCTGGGCTCCAAGCAACCTCCTGCCTCAGCTCCGAAGCTGGGACTACAGCCATGCCCACCATGCCAGCTATTTTTCTTATATATTAGTTGGCCAATTATTCTCTTTATCGAGAGAATGGGTCTCCGCGTCTTGCTCAGGCTGGTTTCCACTCCTGACCCAAGCAATCCTGCCCACCTCGCCTCCCCAGAGGCTATATTACAAGCATAAACAACTGCCCCGGCCTACCCCCACCTTTTCCTTGCAATTCGTTGAAGAAACTTGGTCAGTCAGCAAAGTAATCAAGTCATTTGTTGTGTTCTAATATTCTGGATTTTGCTGACTGCATCTGCTGTGATGCTTTTATTTTGAGACAGTCTCACTCTGTCGTCCAAGCTAGAGTACAGTGGTGTCATCATAGCTCACTGCAGCCTCAAAATCTTGGGCTCAAGCGATCCTCCTGCTTCAGCCTCCTGAGTAGCTTAGATTTCAGGAGTGTGCCACCAAGCCTGACTGATTTTTCTATTTTTTGTAGAAATGGGGTCTTGCTCAGGTGGGTGTATGCTAACCTTTAAACTACTCTGAAAAAAATTGTAGGGCCAGGTGCAGTGGCTCAAGCCTGTAATCCTAGCACTCTGGGAGGCTGAGGCGGGAAATCCCTTAAGCTCAGGAGTTTTAAGACCAGTCTGTTGCAGTAGCATAATCAGTGGAGTTCACTGCAGCCCTGAACTGCTGGACTCAAGTGATCTTCCTGCCTCAGACTCAAGTAGCTAGGACTACAGGTGCATGCCACTATACCTGGCTAATTAAAAAAAAATTTTTTTTGTAGAGACAGCATCTTGAACTCCTGGCCTCCTGCAATCCTCCCATCTCGGCCTCCCAAAATGTTGGGAGTACAGGTTTGAGCCACCACAGCTGGCCTAAACTAATTTTTTTTTTTGAGACAGAGTCTCAGTTTGTTGCCCAGGCTAGAGTGCGTGCCGTGGCATCAGCCTCCCTCACAGCAACCTCAAACTCCTGGGCTCAAGCGATCCTCCTGCCTCAGCCTCCCTAGTAGCTGGGACTACAGGCATGTGCCACCATGCCCGGCTGTTTTCATGTTTTCTATATATGTTAGTTGGCCAATTAATTTCTATTTATAGTAGAGACAAGGTCTCACTCTTGCTCAGGCTGGTTTTGAACTCCTGACCTCGAGCAATCCGCCCGTCTCGGCCTCCCAGAGTGCTAGGATTACAGGCGTGAGCCACGCGTCTGGCCCCAAACTAATTGTTTAGTATGTTTTTTGTAGACAACAAACTTACTGACTGGAAAGGTCTTTTCATGCAAATCCATTAATGGAGCAAAAAAGCCCATTTGAACATACTTACCTGGGAAAGATTAAGACAAGTTCATCTAGTCTTTCCCTTTTTAAACTATAGCACAAAGATGCAAAAGATACTTTGTTTTCTCTCAGTAGTGCATCTATCTGTCTCCATCTAGAGACAAGGGTCTCACTACATCACTCAGGCTGGGGTGCAATGGTATAACAGCTCACTGTAGCCTTGAATGCATGGCCTCAAGCAATCTTCCAGCCTCTGCCTCCCAAGTAGCTCAGACTATAGGCTTGTGCCACCAAGCTGAGCTAATGTTTTGTGGAGGTGGAGTTTGGCTGTGTAACCCAGACTGGTCTAGAATTCCTGGGCTCAGGCAATCCTGCCTCTGCTTCCCACGTGGTGGGATTACAGGTGTGAGCCACCTTACCTGGTTTGTCTGTTCTCTTAAAAGGACTTTTAGAACTTTTTTTTTGTTGTTGACAATAAGTCAGGTATCCCTTTTCTGAGTGCTCAGGCCACAAAATGATATTTTCCAGCTATGTAGGATGACAGAAAATTATTTGACGTTTGGAAACTTATTAGTTGGACTACAACTTCCAATTCAATGTGTAGCTCTAATAGTTTCTTAACTATATTCAAGACACATGGGGTGGAAAAACCACACAAGAGGACTTGGAATGAAGAACCTTTAGCATGTCCCTTAATTTTTACTCTAGATATGGTCGATCACCATAGCTGTCTTCAATGAGAGATCTTTCCTGAGGCTGTGAAAGAACATAAAAAAGTCCTAAATTGTATATGAAGGACTCATGTACATAAAGTCCCATCAACTTTAATATAGTGACCCAAGAAGCCACTAATCCTTACATCAGAAAGAAATTAAAGCTTGATTGAAAATTTGCTATTTGGGCCACCTGTAATCCTAGCACTTTGGGTGGCCGAGGTGGGAGGATTGCTTGAGATCAGGAGTTTGAGACCAGCCTGAGCAAGAGCAAGACCCGTTCTCTACTAAAAATAGAAAAAAATAGCCAGGCATGGTGGCATGTGCCCATAGTCCCAGCTACTTGGGAGGCTCAGGCAGGAGGATCCCTTGAGCCCAGGAGTTTGAGGTTGCTGTGAGCTAGGCTGATGCCACAGCACTCTAGCCTGGGCAACAGAGTGAGACTCTGTCTCAAAAAAAAAGAAAAAAAAAGAAAATTGGCTATTTGTCCTTTTGTTTTCCACGTTAACTATAATTATACGCTCATTTAATAATTTTAACTGCATGATTAAAATACTGTTTCATATATAGCAAACTAATAATAATCAAGTTTGAGGGAAAAGAGCCCACTGCCATAAAACCAGCAATAGACACTTAAGATTCTTGAAGTGGTGAAAGGATGATGGAATCATTTTGTTTGTTCAATTTTCCTTAACAGTTTAAAGTTTTTCTGGAAAAACATTCAAGTAGAAGTCATTAAATGATGTAATTAAATACCAATTTTTGTTTTGCTTACATGGAAGAGAATTAGGTTGTGTTGTTACAGGCATGTGCCACCATGCCCAGCTTATTTTTTCTATATAGTTTTAGTTGGCCAATTAATTTCTATTTTTAGTAGAGATGGGGTGTCACTCTTGCTCAGTCTGGTTTTGAACTCCTGACCTTGAGCGATCCTTCCACCTCAGCCTCCCAGAGTGCTAGGATTACAGGTGTGAGCCATTGTGCCAGGTCCTTAGGTTGTTTTAAAATACAATTCTGTACTCTGAGATTTGTTAAGGCTGGGAAAATATCTATGCCTGGTGCTGGGATGTGGCATGAAACTCTAAATGTTGATGAATAATCTGACCAAATTAGCTAAATCTGCCATCAAAGCATAGCTGTATTTACAGAAAACAAGTAGAAAAACTCCCTTCTCTTGCCTGTTAATCAGAAGAAGCTGCAAACCATGACTTTCCAAGCAGTACCATGGAAGCACAACTTCTCACTGCCATTATCAGTGGAGCTGCTATCATCAGCTGACTCACCATTAGTTAGCTGCCAAATACTAATTTTTCATATTTGAATTTCCTTTTATTGTACAGAACTCTACACTTGGTTTTGTACACATTCAGTGCTTTTTCCAAGGTTAACTTTAGAGAGCCATTAACACATTCAAGGAAATCTTTAGAAAACTATATAATTCTATTCATTATGAAATAGGTTTTAATTTCAAACAGGAAATACACTTTCTTTACTAATCAGCATGTCCAATGCCTAACTGCATGAATAAATTCAATAATATTTTTGAACAAAATGGGGCATGCAATTCCTTTGAAATGCAATGCTCCTAAATTTTTTCTAAATTTAACCATGACTGCACAATGGCCCTTAAAAAGATAACAGACTAAGTACTGCACAAGGGTAAACATGGAAGTCAAATCAAAGCCAGACACGGTGGCACATGTGTGGAGTCCCAGCTACTCAGGAGGCTGAGGTTGGAGG